CCCCACAAAACCTTTTAATAACCAGACGTTGACAGGGGCCAGTTCAGGTAGGCAGATGGGGATTAAAAAGTACAGGTGAGCAAGCGAAGTCCTTCTTCTGGGGTCGTGTCCTCACTGCCATGGCAAATTAGTGATCAGGGAGAGGGGAGAGAAGACAGAAAAACAGGAACCTTGCAGCGATGCAGTTAATTACCTCAAGTTTAAGAGAGAGGGTTCTCTCTTGCTCTTCCCGCAGCTGCGCCCTTTCTTTCTCCATCGCCTCCGTCAGCTGCCTCACGTGTTCCTGATGACTCTTTTCTTTTTGTTCCATCATCTGCTGATTCTTTATTTGCATTTCCGCCAGCATTTTTGTTGCAGCCTGTGCTGCTTCCGCTTTCGCACGTTCCACTGTCAGGAGGCAAAGGAGAAAGAAACATGTATGTGGGTGACCATATTGCTTCTTTCTTCCATGTGCACTGATCTGGCATTGTTGCTACTGACTGCGTACACCCGGCATGGAAATGACTTCAGCAAGAAAGAGGCATCTTATGTCATCCTACTATAGTTCAAGGATTGTAGGTTCATCCAGTTATTTGAAGTTTATGGGCTTCTGGGGCTATCTGGTCTCTTGATTCGCTCCTCACCTTCAATCAACTTTTCCTTCTCTGAGAGAGTCTGGTCTGTCTGAAGAATTGCGTCAGTCACAGACTCCTTGGACTTCAAGTATTCCTGAAGAACTTCTTCAGCCTAGGACCCAGAGAAAATGGAGTAAATAATAGGAAATGGCTATGAGCACTTATTTGCCCACCATCTTTCCCTCTAAGGGCTGCTCCTCTTGGCCCTGGTGTGCCCGGTGATCAAGATTCTCAGTCACTGGGGTGAGCACGAGCTCCAGGCTGGCCAGGCTTGGCCCCCTACTGAGCAGAATCCTTTATCAGGGACTGAGATAGACACAGAGATGCTCTGTTCTTGTTGAATGAGGACTCTAATTTTGGGGCTGTGGGTGCTGTGGTCCCAGTGGGGTGAGCATGCTGGAGAGTGAAGCCACCGTGGACAAAGTGGATCAGAAGAAAGGGTAAGGAGGAGAATGGGAGGGAGGGAAGTGTGGGCTTAAGTGG